GTTAAAAAGTGGAATTCGAATGCAAGCGCCTCCTAACGGAACGCTGCCAAAATAACTAATCTGTCAACTAGGTAGATGGCGCTCGAGCCGCATTTCATATCGATATATGTAAGAATGTTAAGTTAAAGTTAAAGGAAACAGGTTGCATCCCAAAACCAATACAGAAGAAAATTATGTTTTAGTTAAAGAACCAGGGTCTGAATATATGGGACACGTAACACCCTTATCAGGATCTGCTGCAAATATAAAATTATGTATTGTCAGCTATTTAGAAAAACATCAGATTGATAAAACAAAGATTTTGGTTATTGAAAGTGATGGAACAGTGTTAAATACGGAAAAGAAGGGTGGAGTTTTGAGACTGCTAGAGGAATATTGTGGTAGACCATTACAATGGCTTAATTGTCAATTGTACGGAAACGAACTTACGACATCTCTTTCAGCACTTAGATGGACTGACAACTGGACCACGTGAATTTTCAGGACCCATTGGTAAAAAATTATCAGAATGTAATAAGCTTCAAGTTATAAATTTTATTACAATTGAATCAGACTTGCCCGTTGATGTTGATGAGACAGAGTTAAGTACAGACCAAAAATATTTGTTACAAATATGCCGTAATGTTTTTAGTGGTAATGTCAGTGACAGTTTAGCTCGAACTTCGAGCCTCGAAGAGATCCTGGTAAAGTATCCCATTCTCGATGGTTGACAACAGCTAATAGGTTGCTTCGTTTGTATATTGGAACAGAGTCTCCATCAGAGAGTCTTAAAATATTGGTGGAATATGTTGTAAAAAGTTTTTACTCCAGTTTGGTTTAAAATTAAATGTAACCCATCTTGCAAGGACTTGAACTAATAAAACGATCCCATTATTTAAATTCAAATCTTAAACGTATTATGGATCCGGTAATCAAAGAAATGGATACTTTGGTCAGCAAAAACATATAAAAGAGCTTGATTTAAGAAGGATTCTAAAAGCAAGGGCAAAACCAAGATTGCCTGAAGAAATCAGGCAATTTAAAATCCCTCAATACTCAAACAATAAACTAAAATATATGGTAATTCATGGATGCATAAAAGCAGATGGAAGCATTCTAAAATTTCCAAAGTTTCCGTGTCGAACACAGTCTGTTAAAAGATGCGTTAAACTAGTAACGGAGCTCCGCGGAGGCGTCTTCGGCAGTCTGGCAGAATGACAGAAATTGATTTATTCGCGGAATCCCGTAAAATGCAACAAAATGGATGTTAGTCGGTGTTATAGTTGGCAAAAAAAATACATAGCTTTCAATATATTATTAATGCGTTATAAAGTATAAGTATAAAAAATATGAATTGATATAAAATTGCTTTAGTACAAAAAATTTGGATTTTCGAATAGAAAAGAATACAAGCGCAACAAATTCTGATATTAATTATCTTTTATAAAAATTCTTTTTTGTTCATTTGCAATTTAGTTTTTTTCCTTGTAAGTATTATTATATTTTCCTCCTAAGGAGGTTCGGGCAGTACATTGCGGGAGTTGCTTTTATATACTTAATGCATAAATAGCGATATATCGCTAATCAGTAGGTACCTATAGGTACCAACAAGGAAAAACAAAATTTACTTCATCATTTTATTACATTTCATTTAAAAAACAGACAATTTTCTAACTGATTTTATAATTATTTTTTATTTTAATATAAAAGACATACTACATAATATGTATACATATTATTGTAACACGGGAACGCCACAACATTGCGAGTTGTTGATAGTTGTCAACTATCAACACCTCGCAATTTTGTCGCAAATATTAGTTGGTTTCTATGGTAACGCTTTTTGCTTTTGACAGTTGCAGTGTCATTTCTATATGTAGTGTTTTTTAAATTCTTAAAATGAGTTGTGAAAACGAATTTTCTGTAAAACAAATAAAATCCGCACAGAAAAAAAAATATTAAAAAAAGTATGAAAACCTAAAATAAAGCAAAATGTAACATGTTAACTATGTTAAATTCAGTCTCGAGAAGAGCAGAAAACAAAGATAAGAAAACCATAAAATGTAGGTAAATGTGCCTGTTTACATGTAAAATTTACTTTTTTTCAAAATTTCCAGGAACAACGAAGTTATAACGACCTTTTATTTTGAATTTTTTTTTTTAATATTTTGAAAACCGCTAGCTTCTTTTTCAATTTATTTCAATATAACTGACCTTCTAGCTCTTTAAATAAAAAAACGACCTATACATATAGAATGATACTTGGTGCACTCTTTATAGGCGCTATCAAAATTTTGCGTGAAGGCGCACACTTGTTTACGCTACTGAGCATATATTAATTAATTCAGTCAAAGTGGGGGTTACTAGTAATATTACTTTTTGGCAATATTCTAGTTTAAAAGTACTATTAAAAATTAAATAAAATCCAGACATTATAATGTAAAGTAATAATTTATTACCAAAATAAAACATGCAAATTGTTACTAATATATTTCGTAGATAAAGTTGTGTCGGGTTGAAAATTTCCATGGAAATATATAAAAGTACATATACCTATATATATATAAATTAGATACAGTACCTAATAAATATAGAGCAGAGTAACCAAATATATTTTTAAGTGTCAAAAACATACAATTTCAACGTTTGTGATAAAATTCTTGTGATTAAGGTTATATCACCGTCTTATAAAACTCACTATAGTGAGTAAAACGGTAAAAAAATCAAGCAACAAACGCACAAAATTATACACATACGTAGAATATTTTAATGAAGCATCAACTTGTCGTTCCACATTTACATTTGCCAAATTATACTCTTAGCATTATTCACGTAAGTATAATTTCAAAAATAATAATAAAACCATATGCAGTTTCCGCATCGTAACAGTAAATATACAGTACGTTGGACCATAATTTTGTTACTTAACATAATTTAGAAGTTTATGGTTGCCTCTTTATTACCAAGGCTTTAATTGGACTCTTATGGACATTATAACAAAGAAATTTTACTAATAATACGCGACAACTTGAACCATCTTAAACGTTCTTTGTATTTTGGGTTAGTTATAATGCCAAACAAAAAATGTTGCAGATATTTTGTTTTAGAACATATTAAGACAGCTGTAGAACATTTTAGACACTGTCTAATAGACAGTTTTTTAAACAGTTTAGGTACCCTTTATATAGTTTTAAGACAGTTTGGGAACATTAGATAGTTGAAGCGAGAAATTGAGGCCAGGTCGCCAGCCTCTGGCAAACAAATTATACAGTCCACACACCTTTATGACAATGAATAGTCCAAATTTTATTATTTTAATTTTACGTATACTGCACAATCACTGGCACGCACGTACGATGCTGGTTCGAGTTATTTAATGTGTGTTTGTAGCTTTCTTAAATTCTTTTGCTTGGCTGTCGCAACACCTTTATTTATTTGCATTGCGGTGTGCAAAAATTCTGGGTTTAGTTGTGATTTTTGCAATGTTGTATTAAGAAAAGAGACTACAATGATAAAGTAACGACGAACCTTTTTTAATATCACTTTATTGATTAAAGATAAAGAGACAACCAACTTTTTATAATTTTTAAACTAGCTGAATATCCGAGGCTTCGCTCCCGTGGTTCTAAGGAAAAATTAGTTATACATCTACTTCTATATATATATACATATAAATAAAATTAATGTGTTTGTCTGTAATTTGCCGCGTTTTCGTACGGGAAGCATTTCCATTAGTAAATAGTAAAAAAAGTCATTACAAAGTAGCCTATATTACTATCTTAAAATTCCTCTACCTGCTTCGCTCCAAAGGTTTATTAGAATTATTGTTAAATATATTTATTTATATATTTATTTATATAGAATAAACAAAAATAAACAAAGATAGATAATAAGTATATTATATGCATATATAAGGGTGTTTAAAAAAACATTTTTTGAAAAATTAATAGTACATTAAAAAACTAAAATTTTGGCGCCTATTTGAGCCCTTAATATTAAGGTTTGTCTCAATTCATTTGTTGTTTTTCCATTTTAATAACACGGAAATTTTTAATTTTGAATTCTTATAACTTTGGAATGGTTTGTTTTCGCAACACCCAAGCGAGAGGAGTTATAGACAATTTCAAACTCTACAAAAAACATCTGAAGGTCAAAGTTCTTCAGATCAACTGTTCATGGTCTGTGGTATGTAACTATAATTGGTTTATCAGATACATAAAAAAATATATTTTGAAAAATGGCGAATGCACCGGGATAGATAGAAGAATCCCGTGCGAGTGCGTAACCTATCCAAAAACCTTCCGGGGGGGGCCACAAGTATATAAATTATGTTATGTTTGTTTGTATGTTCTTTGTGCGTTCCTATAGCATACATCCGATTGTGATAAAACTTGGTAAGTTGTTGTGGGCACCCCATATATAATATATAATATAATATACAGGGTGTCCCAGAGTATGTGGGCAATCTCCCGGATTCAAATAGAACGCATAAGAATAATATGACAAGTTCCTATAAATTCTTTTTCCTACAACATGGTACTATTACTAAGTTTAATTTTATTTCAATGTTTTTTTCAGGGAAAACTTGACAGAATATTTTTTTTTAGTTATTATTGTGCATTTTTCTACTTAAAATTTTTGTATAAAATTTAGTAAAGGGTCGTTTTTTGGGGTGGTGAATCCAGTGCCGTGCTTAGATTTTGTTTAAAAAATCGCTAATATGAATGCTTAAAAATTTACTCCTAAAATCTGACATAGTAGGCCTTGTATTTTGTACAAATATGGGTTTTTTTGCTCAAAAAATACAGTTTTACAGGGGTGAGTCGCAAGCAAATGGTTCACACTGTATATATACATATATATATATATATATATATATATATAGGCGTTTCCCTTGTGGGATTGGTGACACCTACAAATTAAAAAGTAAACATTTATAACCAGATGTACAAATTCATACGATTACAAATTCATATACTTAAAATTTTTTACTTAAAATATTAATTAATTTTTTTTTTCAGATGTTTAAAAGATGATTATTCGCTGGAAATTAATTTTTGGACTACTGTTATTAACATTATCTTTAGCCTTAGCTAAAAAAGGTGAGTTCATAATTTTTTTTATAATTTTCAAAACATAAAAATATTTTTCTATAAAATTAGATTAATACTTTGAACTATTAAATGTTTTTAAATTATGTAGGTGGGTCAGAATTTCTCAAACGGGCCACCTGAATTAGGTCAAAATTAGTTTTTGTTTGTAGATACATTTTTTCGATAGTATTTTACATCACTAACACAAATCCTAAAGGATTTTGTAAAAAAAAAAATTTCAATTTACATATTCATGATATTAAAAGTCAAAGTTTTTAATAATTAAAAAATAAAAAAATTCATTATGGCTGAACTAATTATCCGATTCCAACGATATAACTAGCGTTGGAATCTTGTTTTGACATAGATTCTTTGTTATTTTTTTCAATTTTCCAATTTTCATTAAGGTCGATTTTTTTTTGTTTTTTTATATCAAAATCGGAAATAATTGGCTTCTGCGCCAGCTATCGACTCGAAAAAAAAAAACACATATACTCTAATCATTTCTCGAAATTATGCTGCTGAGAAAAAAAATGGCCCGCAGGTTGACAAAAAGTTATTCGTCCCGTCGCAAGCGCGTACAGCATACACGGTTCGGAGCGTGAGCTGACACCGCGCGCGGCCACAAAAGGACGAATAACTTTTTGTCAACCTGCGGGCCATTTTTTTTCTCAGCAGCATAATTTCGAAAAATGATTGGAGTATATGTGTTTTTTTTTTCGAGTCGATAGCTGGCGCAGAAGCCAATTATTTCCGAATTTGTTATAAAAAAAACAAAAAAAAATCGACCTAAATGAAAATTGTACAATTGAAAAAAATAACAAAGAATCTATGTCAAAACAAGATTCCAACGCTAGTTATATCGTTGGAATCGGATAATTAGTTTAGCCATAATGATTTTTTTTATTTTTTAATTACTAAAAACTTTTACTTTTAATATCATGAATATGTCAATTGAAAAATTTTTTTTTACAAAATCCTTTAGGATTTGTGTTAGTGATGTAAAATACTATCGAAAAAATGTATCTACAATCAAAAACTAATTTTGACCTAATTCAGGTGGCCCATTTGAGAAATTCTGACCCAGGTACCTACTTTATTATAGTACACTTTTATAAACTTCATTTAATTGTATATATGCCCGAGCAAATTGCATACCACACTTTATCTAAGACGAACGCATAGTACAGTCATCTTAGTCAAAAAAAGGGATCAACCTCGGAATCTAACGGAATAAGCTGAATTTTTGTGAAAACCTTTATTTAAGCATTACAAATGTTGTCTCAAAAGTCACATATGCCAACGTGTGAGCGGCCTTAGATATTCAAGGTCAAAGGTCGCAAAAATCAGTTTTTTAAGAATATCTCGCTTTCTCTGCCTCCTATCGTATTTGCATTTATCATAAAAGTTGTAGAGAATAAAATTCTCTAAAAATTTTGTTTACAAAATTTTTTTATACGTCGAACCGTTTTTGAGATAGAGGGCGCAGAGTGTGGAGCGCTCAGCCATACGTACCTTTACCTTTACGCAAGGTAAATCGTGAATCCCAATCTATTATATTAATATAATAAATATTACTAAAATAAAAACTTAATACCTTATACTTATATTTATATTTCTTTTAAATCAAATATATTTTATCTTCATATATATCTTATATTTTAATTTAATTTTAATGAAGGATAATAGACCTATTCCATAAAACGGACTTTTGGATAGCGCGTGCGTGAAAAGGCACGTCGTCTTTTTTTAATTATATAAAAGAGAAAGAGATACCACTCTTCTTCAGGCACGCGCTATCCAAAAGTAGTACGGTAGTTTTATGGGATAGGTCTATTGGATCGGAGTAGGAAAAAATGTTTTTATTTATATCAATATTATTATTATTATTAATCTTTATCTTCTTCATCCTCGTCTTCTTCAGGTTGGCCAGCAATTTCAGACTCATTTTCATCATCACTCTCCTCGTTATCATTGACATTAATTGTCATATCTTCAAAAACTTACTTATAACGCGTTTGTACTTTGCAGATTTTTTGCCTTTGTTGCCTTATCTGCGACTACACCACAAAATAAGCACAATATTTTAAAATCAAACACATCATTCCCTTTTTTACGAGGTACAGTTGATGACGTTGAAGGTCCAGTCTATTCAAGGCGACGTTTTGCTGCTGCAATTTTACTATAGTACGCTATAGCGTACAATTTTCGACACTCAATATGAACGTTCACAGAAGTCGAAGTATTTAGGTAGTTTATTTTTCTCAATAATTGCTTCTTTATACCGCGCACAAAAGTCACAGAATCACCTTCAGAAAGTACCTAACTTATTACAAATAAAACACAAATCAGCCATGTTAACCTTTAAAATATTACGAATATTACCTGTCACAACCCTAGACCTATACCTAGGGTCACAACTTGCTTTAAATATAGGTATACCTAACCTTTTTATTTATAGCAAGCCCACTTTAGTATTTCCAGGTCTGTTATTTTAAAAGCAATATCTGGATCCAAGAGATGACCAGAGACATATTTAAGGCAAATTCATTTAATGTCTTTTCTTCATGCATTTATCATTAATTAGAATAACATTAAAATATATTTAGATTGATTCACTTCATTATTTAATTATTTGTATCTCAAAAGTAAGTAATAATTTGTTTTAAAAAATATATATAAAAATAAATATAAGGTATTAAATTGTTATTTAAGTAATATTTAATAAATAATTAATTAAAAGTACGGTATAATAGATTCGGATTCATGATTTACCTTGCGCTAAAGGTACGTATGGCTGAGCGCTCCACACTCTGCGCCCTCTATCTCAAAAACGATTAGACGTATAAAAAAATGTTTTAAACAAAATTTGTAGAGAATTTTATTATCTACAACTTGTATAATAAATGCAAATACGATAGGAGGCAGAGAAAAGGAGATATTCTCAAAAAATTGATTTTGCGACCTTTGACCTTGAATATCTAAGGCCGCTCACACGTTGGCATATGTGACTTTTAAGACAATATTTGCAATGCAAATGCAAATAAAGGTTTGTACAAAAATTCAGCTTATTCCGTTAGATTCCGAGGTGAAATCCCTAGATGACTGGACTAGCAATGTTTTATCAAAATTTAAAATTAATTTTATTTTACATTTCATCTGGTAAGTAGATAATAGTACATTATGTATCAAATTGTATAAACACCATTTTAGTTACGAACGAGTGTCTAGAGAAGTTTATAAAACGAGTTGCATACTATACTTTATCTACGACGAATACAAAAAAGAATTTAAAGTCAATTTTAATTGATAAATATTTGACATTTGGCCAATTTAACCTCACTTTTTAGCAATTTTATAAACAAGCTTATTTCAGTCCGTGACTAAAACGCCATAAAGTCACAGCTTGTCAATGTGTAAGTTTTATAAACACCATTTTAGTTACGAGTTTTATTAATCACGAGCGAAGCTTGCGAGCGAGTGTTTAATAAAGTGTGTTTAATAGAGTGTCTAGAGAAGTTTATAAAACGAGTTGCATACTATACTTTTTCTGCGACGAACACAAATAAGAATTTAAAGCCAATTTTAATGTTTAAATATTTGACATCTGTAGATGTTAAATTCGTCATGACGAATTTAACCTCACTTTTTCGCAATTCATAATAAAGTCAACTTCAGCCCGTGACTAAAATGCCCAAAAGCCACTATTGATTACTTTCCCATGACTAAAACGCCATAAAGTCACAGCTTGTCAATGTGGGAGTAGATAAAACATTTTAAAAAATTGACACTTAAACATAGATATTTATTTCAAGGTAACAACCTGATTAAAATTGTATAAGTACATAAGTATTACAAAGTTAAACTGGGCACGAATTAATTGATTATATTAATTAAATTTTTCATTGAGAATGTATTAAAAACTTTCTATTTTTTTGGCACTATAAACAAAACAATGTATTGTCTCTATCTGTAAAACCTAGTTTAAAAATAAAACCAAGTGCATTCAGATACAATTTGGTTTTCACGTTGTAATCTTCTAGGCACATAAATTTCGTTAATGAAATATAACAAATCGGTATTTTAACGACTCGCTATCTGATCCATTGTTCAAAAATTTCCTTTTTCCTGTCTTTATTTTAATCGTATGCAACTAATACAAATACTGGTAATGTGACCTTCCCAGGCATCTTTAACGTTTAGTAAATTGGATTTACATACTATTATCATGTAGGTATGCTTATTTATTTATCTATCAAATAATAAAAAGTCAAGGATAGTTTATAAAATACACTATTGTTGTTTAATGATATTTTAATACATGTTTTTTTTTAAATTATGTCATTGAATATGCAAATAATTTGAGTTATTTGCATGTTTTTTATCTGAATTTAACTACAAACATTGTATACTATGTGGAACACCCTGCCTAATTTATTAATTCTTATGTAGCAGATATCTACGTATGAAATTCATACTATGAATGTATACATATTAACATTTGTATGATACTTCCTTTAGATATTAACCGTACTTTGCTACGCTTTCTACATGTATACACTATCATAATAAGGAAAAAACATAAAAACAAATCATGTATAAATCACTTAATAAAAGCATTATTAATATTATTAACACAACTAATATTGAAATAGTGAATTGTAAAAGGTCGCATCTTTTTGGTTCATTTTTGTACCTTTATTATTGCCTTCTATAAAAATATTAATTATTTTATTAAGATATAACCATAATTTCATTAAATTTAATACAATGTAATTATTGAAGCAAATCAATTGTTTCGAATGTGGTGTAAACATTAATTATTTCAGCTAGGAAATAACAAAAGAAGGATTATTACTGAAATCATTACTATGGGAAATAATGTAATCTAAAAATAAACTATTGCCACCATTTTTTAAATTTCTAAAACTAAGAGGAAGACCATCAATAAAAGGTTTTTGTCCAAGAAAGTTCATAAAACTGCAAAAATCGTTATAAAATCATAGAAA